GATTTGAAAATATCGGATTTGTGCCGTTCACACTGTCACACCATGATGGGATATGGGTCACAGAGGGTCAAAAAAAATGGATTTGATGCGCTTTCGCCTGCAGTGTGAACGTAGCCTAAGTGCTACCAGTGGGAAGTGAAGCTTGAGCAGACAAACATTACTTCATTGCCCACAAATTTTATTCCCCAGATTGTTGACAGTTGTTGTTGTCTTCATTGTATGACATCATACATTGCTTAAGCTAAGTGTTTGCATGGTTGAGATGATGCCCATATAACACTGCAGCAGAGCGCATTCTGTGTAGGCATTGCCAGTTGTGAACTACCAGGAACAAGAAAGCGCAGACAATAGACAAAAGACTGAGAGTAGATACCTCTCATTTAAAACTGAAATCAAAACACGTTTTTCCTACCACAAACTTGATTGGCTTACTTACCATTTTGTTCTTTCATGATGATGGAGAACTACACCTACAACACCCTCACACTCCAGCTGGAAGGGTTGAATATTTCAGTAGAGTCCACATATGCTTTGTTTCTTCTCCTGCTGTTCTTCTACTTGTTTATAATAGTAGCAAATGGAGGGATTGCTGTTTTAGTTTTCATGGACAAGAACCTTCACCAGCCTATGTATATGCTTTTTTGCAACCTGCCTTTTAATGATATTCTTGGAAACTCTATCATGGTACCTCGATTGTTGATAGACATATTGAAGCCTCCATCTGAACGCTTTATCAGTTATTATGAATGTGTGGTGCAAGCTTTTACCACACATATGTTTGGTACCACGAGTCACACTGTGCTCATGATTATGGCCTTTGACAGATATGTGGCCATTTGTAATCCTCTGCGATATGCTTCCATAATGACCAACAAAATGGTGATCAAGCTGACGGTTTTTGCCTGGGGAGTGGCCTTTGTTTTGGTCGGGATTCTGCTTGGACTGACTGTACGACTGAGTCGATGCAGGACTTTGATTACAAACCCTTACTGTGACAATGCCTCTCTTTTTAAGCTTTCCTGTGAAAATGTGTTCATTAATAATGTCTATGGGCTCACCTTCACTGTGGTCCTGTTTACAGGTTCTATGGGCAGCATTGTTCTCACATATGCTAGTATAACAATTGTCTGTCTAACCAGTAAGAACAAGTCTTTGAACAGTAAAGCATTGAAGACCTGCAGCACCCACCTGGTTGTTTACTTGATTATGCTGTTGAGTGGAATGATTGTCATTATGTTGCATCGCTTTCCACAGTACTCAGATTACAGAAAACTTTGTTCCATTTTGTTTCACATCATCCCTGGAAGCCTCAACCCCATTATTTATGGTGTACAGTCCAAAGAGATGCAAAAATTATTTGCAAAGTTACTACAGAAGAAAACTGGGCCATTAAAATAAGTTTTATTTGCACATGCATTATTAATCATGCAGGATGACACAAGATAATTAAGAATAATTTATTACCAGCACTGTAGAAATGCAACACTATTTTCAAAGGCAAACCCTTGTGGTTCCTTTTTTTTCAACGTGATTTTTGTCAAATATTTAGTTAATTTATTGGAAAAAAAAGAAAATAACATTGAGCAAACCTAGACCTAGAGAGTATTAAAGTGTGTAACAAAAACCCAGTGTCACTGACATGGTGTTATTACAATACATTACTGATATTAAAAGTACAGATGAGAATAAGATGACTTGTAAAAATTTGACCTAAGCTACAGCCCCCACCTGCTTTTACATGTTTCCTGTTGTCTTTATCATTTTCAATGATAGCCTTTTAACACTGTGGGTGGGCCACTTATATGGATACACCGTAATAACATGGGAATGGTTGGTGATATTAAAGTCCTGTTTGTGGCACATTAGTATATGTGAGGGGGCAAACTCCTCAAGATGGGCGGTGACCATGGTGGCCATTTAGAAGTCGGCCATCTTGGATACAACTTTTGATTTTTAAATGGGAAGAGGGCCATGTGACACATCAAACTTATTGGTAATGTCACAAGAAAAACAATGGTGTGTTTGGTTTCAACGTAACTAATATCACCAACCATTCCCATGTTATTACGGTGTATCCATATAAATGGCCCATCCTGTAGTTGCGGGTTTTTTCCTTCCTTGTATTTCACATATATTTTTACTGGGAATACAGTGTAAGTGTATAAAATTATCTAGGGGGGAAAAGTCGTTTCTTTACAATTCACTGTGAATACTTTTTCACATAGTATAAATATTTTTTGTATTTAGTACACATAGCGAATTGGATTTATTTGCCTTATTTAAGTAAAACCAAATTCTACATATCAGCACAAATGCCTCACACCAACTGTCAGCATGGTAGTGGAGGGATGATCAATCGTTTGCACTTGCTTTGCAGCCACAGGTGTTAGAACTTACACGGATGGATTTAGTGGCAGAAACACATACGGGCACAAGATAGTAGTGATGCAGATTTATATACAATGATGGGGAAATATTTACAAGGGAAGGGGCTATATACAGTGACAGGTAAAAATGTGCAAGGAGAGCAGAGCTGAAGAGATGAGACGGAGCCGAGGTATGCGGGTGGGCGGATGATGCACCGGAGCTACCTGAAAACGAGGGACAAACAAAGTTTACCGAGTAACGTCAATAACCGAAAGTTAAACTAAAGTGGACGGGGAGAGTTGGAGAGCTTACTTGAAACACAGAACTACAGCTGTAGCGGTGGTCTCAGACTGGTATGAAGTAACTCTCCGTCACGGATCCAAAGAAGCCAACACAAAGAAAACTAGGCAGGCGAGCAGGCAGCGGGACAGGCTAGAACAAAGGAGAAGCAGGCAGAAGATGGATCCTAAAAAACATGCAGCTCAATAGCGTGGAATCAACAGATTCAGCTGGCACCAACACGTTACCACTTGTGACAGCGACAATACTCTGACACCAGACGTCCGTGACTCAGCTCCATAAAAGCGCTCACTGATGACGTCCAATGCGCCGCAGGTGTGCCGAAATGCCATTAAGCCCCGCCTCGCCTACCTATGCCAAAAAGGGAAACAAAACCCAAAAACAACAATACACCTACCCACCACCTCCTAACAACAGGACCTGGGCACCTTGTGATCGGCGAGTTCATCATAAACTTTTCTGTATACCAAACATTTCTAGAGTCAAATGTGAGGCGATCTTTACCACAGCTCAAGCTTGGATCAAACTGGGTCCCAAACACAGTAGTGATCCCAAGCACCGCAGAAAATCTGCAACAGACTGCCAGAAAAAGAATAAAGATATAAAGATGTAAGTCTCCCTGCATTGTGGAAGATGATAATTCCATTTTGGATGTTGTCAGAACTGAGGTCAGGGTCACTCCAGGCTGTCTGTCTCTGCTGGAGACTCGGGAGAGCTCCCACACAACCGTCTGTTCCTGCTGGAGGCTCAGCCACCTGTTCCCGTCAGATACTCTGGAGAGTCCATCCCGCAACTACCTGCTCAACCACCTGCAACTGCTACACGGCATCTGGCCTGCCTCATTTTGTCCTGCCTTGTCTGGTACTGCACACCGGCCATCTGCCAAGCCACCCAAGAGCGTTCAGTCACATCCACTTCCAGTGCAACCTGCACGTCTACATCCATCCACCAAGCCACACCGACGACAGTTACCATCCAAGCCTACCAAAGCCCTTTGATTCCTTCATCTCCCTCTTCTGGTTCCAAAGCCTTCATCACCACCATTGCCCTCTAGATCTGTTGACCAAGGATCTTCGCTTCCATGAGCGGCCTCCTGAATTGTGTTGCCGCTGCCGCTTTTCATGAGGTCAGTCCCCAGAACTGCTCCATCTCCGTCACAGCCGTTGGCTCCTTGGTTTGCCTCCTGAACTGTGTGTTGAACGCCAGTGCTGCTGACCTCCAGGTCAGTCCCCTGAACTTCTTGGATTTGGACTACTGTGTTTTTATGCCACACAGCGTAAACATGACAAGAGGGTTATCAAGGCCCCAACCTGGTGATTTGATTCGATTTGATCCCGTTTTGACTCAGACAGTCAGAAAGATTATAATTCTCTTCATTTATCAGTACAAATCCTTATTTTTATATCTATCTATGAAAACAAAGCTGACACTTGTGAGACTTCATCAGAGGTGAAAGCATAACAGCAGATGCCTTTGTGTCAAATTAACTGAGGATAAAACATGAAGGAGATTTTTCTGCCCTGTTCTTTTATAGCAGATAACCACCTTAAAAATATTCTGCAGTAGAACAAAAACAGAAGAAAACCATGAATCAACAGAATCAACATTACCTGATGCTGCTAAAGTAAAGCAGAGTTACAAACTTATTTTTAGAGACAGAGATAAGCATTTTGCATTTTGGCAGAATTTGTAAAAGCTGAAACTTCTTCAGTATTGAACAGCGGAAATTAGGCTTTCTTGTCGGAGGTCATTTTTATACACCAGTAGACTGGTGCATAATAAGCAAGCAAATAATACAGAAAACAGATTTTTGATGGTATAAACTGGTCTCTGAGTACAGAGAGAGACTTAACTCATATAAGTTTATGAGTTAACCTAATTAACTGACTCCCTCATTAACCTGTCCAGGGTATCTTCCTCCTCATTTTGCCTCAGCGGGATCATGGCCCCTGGCCTTCTGACCCTGGGTCCGCTGCCTTGTTGATGAGACGCACTGCCAACACGCTAATACACGGCACACAGCAACAACTTACAATAATTGCTAAAATGTAGCGAGAGAAACCATAATAGACAAAATAAACCCTTTCCATTACCCCAACATAAATGTCATGCATTCTTCCAATTGTGTTCTTCAATGTTCATGTAATATTGTGGCATAATTACTTCTATCCACAACAAAAAATCAAACAAATAAGTCAAGCACTAAGACAGCACCTCGTGTCTACGCCTGGCTGTGAGCTGTCCCCATTTTCACCCCGCATCATAGTTTAAACCCGCTTCTGACTTCCCTCACTGCTCACTGTAAAATCCAAACAGATATAATTAGCTTTTTCCTAGTAAAAGGTCCTAGATTACTTTTGTAAATCTATGGGAACAGTCTCTATAGAGTTAACCCGTTTCCTCTTTACAAAGCACTCCTAGTTTCTCAGCACAAAACTTTCAGTTCTCTTAACTCCCCCTTTAATGGCTAGACTATATCAGGCATGAGCACTGTGTTTGGGCAATTGACATAACATAAAAATCATGCAAACTATTACTAAAGCTAATCCTCCCATAACTTTTCATTACTTTTGTGCTCACACGATAACCTCTGTCTAACGAGCTTTCGACCTTCTTTACAATTTAAACAACTAATCTTCTGGGACGGGCGATTCTCTGGGATCTATGCTTCTTTTAGATCACTGTGTCCCCCTTTGTTAGCCAGATCCGTTCGGTCTGGTGCTTCCTGGATTCTCGCCAACCCCTTCGTGCTTTTGCTGTGGTTCTGGAATCTGATCCTTCTGTAAAGGACAGAAAAGGCAAACACCTCTCTGCGAAGCCTCAATAAGCTAATTTATTCATTCCTTGTTCTTTTAGCTATTTAAAGTTGGCTCAGAATATCATGTTTGGGACTCTCTGATCTACAGGATTAGTCTAATTATTATAATGTGTGTAAGCGTGTTTGCATTTACCGCTCTGCACTCTAAGTCCTTCATTATTGTCATGTGTGTATGAAAATAATTATAACCGCTTATTTTAGTAGAAGAAATCAAAAAGAAATCAAACATTTTCAATCTTAAGCATCTTCCCTTCTTTCACAGAAGCATGTTTCATTCAGCTTGCTGTCCCACAGTTTCCCCTTCAGTGTGGTACTCAGCTTCTCATGAACACATGCATTTTATCTTCTAAATGGGATTCATTTTATTTTTAATCATTTAAGCTTAAACATGAAAACAATGATTTATGCGTAAGTTTTACCGTAGCTAAGTTATCAAGCACACTACAAAGTCATACCCTGATCATGCAATCCATTCTTTCAAATTAAACCTAAAATTCCCCCTTTGACATATTTTATGTGTCAAACAGAATGAAATTGCTTCACCACATCTAGGAAATTAAAAGAAAAAGGTTAGTCATATTATTTCTCAGAAAACCTCAGCAATTCTCCTCTCGAGTAAACTTGCTCCGGGCTTGCAAACCTGTGTTAAGAAATGAAATAATTTTAGTTATCATGTTAAATCTCATCAACTCCTCGAGCTTTCTTCCACATCACCCAGACAAAACCTGTTAATTAATATGAACTTCCCATTTGAAACCCCGTTTTCTTTTTATTTTCATTTTGCTTTTCCCACTTTAACATTTAGCATTTCCCAACAATGACCCACTTACAACCAATTAACCCAGTTTTCTTAATCCAGACATCCATAACCCAAATTTAGTAGCCAAAGGGTTCAGTCTTTTTTTTCTTTTTCTTTTTTTTGCCTGTCCCAATTGTATGGAAGCCCGGTTCCACCACCGGTGGCACGGTGGTTAGCACTGTTGCCGCACAGCAAGAAGGTCCTGAGTTCAATTCCACCATCAGGCCGGGGTCTTTCTGTG